ATCTCATGCCTCACGGGCGAGCAGCAAGATGTTGCATGACTACATCAGCAAATTTTCCCATAACTGGTGTCTGAATATAATTCGCATATAATCAATTAAAATAAATACCAGTATTACAATATGTACCAGACTTGTGGACAGCTGGGCCATTATATTCAGATGGCACATGTTGTAAGACTCCCACAAGAAGTACAATACGCACCAGACTTACACATATTGCAAGCTCAGGCCAGCTTGCTTTGACCCATAATCACACTATCAGCTGTGTTTTGCTTGGTATTCTACATCCCAGAATGAAATACAGAATCAACACATTGGCTGATGAACACAGTACAACATATGATTGCTCAGGCTAGCTACAATACAGGGTTTGCTATGGCTACATGCTCAATGCAATACTATCCGGGAATCAACCCCCACCCTAATCAATAGAAAACAAACCATATCACTACAACAAACTACATCAGGGTATATCAACAGGTGAGATGTTAGGGACATACCTAATGCACTAGTCATCCTGTATGCATAGAACCCAGCAGCAGTACCATAATCAAACCTGCAAAACAAATCAGAATGCTCAGTCACTAAATGTGAGGGACACACCTAGCGAGCAAGACCCAGACTCCTCCGGCAATCTAAGAACCTCTATTAATATGTGCACACAGTAATGCAGAGAAATGGCTTACCTGCAACAGAGACGCATCAAGACACGATGAGGGCCTCATCTAGGTCGCGCCGTACGCGCGCTGTAGGAAGGTACTCAGGGGGAGTTCGACGAGAGGCAGCGGGTTCACAAAAAGAACTTACCCGCGGAGAGGTACAAGAGGCTACGTAGGCACCGCTGTTAGGACTTAGCCATGTGAGAGCTGTAGAGAGGACGTAGTCGTGATACAAGGGAGAGAGGGGATTGGCGATGAAGTCGAACTGCGGCGCGCTTTTAAGTCAAGTTCAAAGTCCGACATGTTGAACTTAGCACGTGAGGCGACGCGCATCAGTCAGGCGCCGGTGATTGCTCGTTGCTAAGGGTATATATATA